GGGCCAAAATGTACCCTCTCACTTTTCCGCCTCTATCCGGCAGGACGAAGACTTTTTTTTTTTTTTTCAAACAGAAACATAACTTTCAACGACTCACAGAAATGTTCAGCGCGTGATAAAGCCAAGGTTTCACGATTAACGAGCTGTCATCTAATTACTACCATGCGGGCAGCAGAGAGAAGGCAGGGAAGAAGTGGCATGCTGCTAAAATACGGCCTCCACGTGCCCCTCATGGAAGTGCAAAACGAGAATGAATCTTCCGCTAAAACATGGCATGAGTTATGAACCGTCATAATTTGTCTTTTCTGCAGCCCGTGAGTAGTGGGGCGATAAGGCCTATGGATGTAAAAATGAGCCGATCGAATAGATCGTGGGAATTGCGTTTTATATGGGCAGGTGAGATCCCGTGCAAACGCTAAATAAGCCGAACATACCAAAGATATGTTATCTCATCACATCAGAATTTCTATAAAAACCTATAGAAATCTACAGAAAACCTATAGAGATCCCGTGAGGCCAAAATGTATGAACGATTGGCTCTCATCATACCAGAAGTTCTATCGAAAGCAATCCTTGATTGACCACGATGATTTGCGCGCGACCTTAAATAGAGGCCTGGCAGGACAAACTAAAAAAATAATGAATCTTTCAGTTTGCTTCCATCTGGCGACAAAGAGAGGGAAAATACGACAGTGTGTCAAGTGCAAGGGGGGGGGCAACATAATGCATCTTACTAAAATAACGTGGAAATGAAAACGATAGATATGCAGGCTGAGGACACCAACGAGTTCCAAGGAATCTTTGGCTACCTCTCACGTTCGTACATACATGGTGAAAGAATAGCACTTATCTCACAAGCCCTAATCAGCCTGCCGAGTTATAGCACACATATCTCACAGCCCTACCCAGCCTGCCGAGTAATAGCACACCTATCTCACAGCCCTACCCAGCCTGCAGAGTTGAGTCAGCCCGCTCACGGACGCTATAAAGAGACAGGATGGACGACCTTCTGTTCACCACGACGATTTGCACTAAGAAAACTCTGGCAGGACAAAAGAAAACATAACGAATTTCACTTCGCTTGCACTTGGTGACAAAGAGAGGGAAAGTACGACATAGTGTCGAGTGCCAAGGGTCAAGGGAGAGTCGGCGCTCACGGACGCTATACAGACGCGGGAGGGGCAACCTATAGTCACCGGCATGATTTGCACCAAAAAGAGCTCTGGCAGGAAGAAACGTTAAGAGCCCGCTCACGGACAGTCTATATACACAGACAACGGAGGACGAGCACCGTTCAAAAGGCAAACGGGGTGTGGCCTATGTGACGACAGCATACTATCTCACACAGGGAGCGAAAACACGCGCACGGCAGAATCATTCACGACATAATCAGCAATTCTCAGGGATCGCGTTTCCGACTTCAAGACATCAGGGGTTTAACTTCCGTCTTTGGGCCTTAACTCTCCACTTACTCACCGAATGAGCACCATGAGAATGAATCTAACGCTTGCACATGGAAGTGTACACCGCCATATTTTGGATTTTGTGCGTGTGCGGAGTCGTGGAACGTGACCATTTCAATCGTCATCATGTACCGAAATTTGCTCGGAGATCAGTTAGCGTGAGTAGAGTGCACAATCCCTCACGAACCCAGCTTGTAGTACTTTGTCAGGTGACAACGAAACCCTGTCGAGCATCGAGGCTCTCCTTTTCTTCGACATCGTCCTTCTCTTCGATGATGTATGGCCTAAAGAGCGGACATGTCGAACAAAAGAAGAGCCTCGAAAGAACCTGGTCAAGCTTTCGTTCAGGATTCCGACCTTGCTCAACCTACACCACGACTGAGATCAAGTCCAGCTTCTGCCTGATAATCTTCATTTACCGACTCCATGCAATACAGCGTGACTGTCGAATTTAATATATAGCGCGAATGAAAAGATTGCCCAAAAACAGAGGAAAAACGTGTCAAACTAATATATATCAATCAAATCAAAGAAAAACAATGCAGCAGCGCGCACTAAGCACGGACTCGAGGGCAGTAATCATCGAACATACGGAAATTTCCCGCGAAAACCTCCTACGAAAATTTCCCGGGAAATAAAAAAAAAAAATCCACACTCCAAACCCTAAAACGTAGAGCCAAGGAACTGGGAGGACCTTAGAGAGAGAGAGAGACGAGCATATGCCGATCATCCGGGGACCCTAAACCACCTTTCCTTCGAGGAGCATGGATTACAATCTATTTCCGTTACTGACCGTAAGGCGAAACAGCAAACCAATGCCAGGGGGAACGCTTGCAACATCTAGACGTTTTTTAAACTTCGCTTGGTCGAAAACGAAAAGCATTATATTGCTTACCTTTACACTGCGGACAACCTTCCCTTATATTGTCGTTTTTTTACTTCGCCGGTACACGATGGTAAATGGTACGTGGAAGGTTTCGATGTGATGATGAATGAGCAAAACGATTTCGACGAAAAGCATTATATTGCTTTCGTTTACACTGCTGACCACCTTCCCTTATATTGTCGTTTTTCTACTTCGCCGGTACATGATTGTAAATGGTACATGGAAGGTTTCGATGTGATGATGAATGGGCAAAACGATTTCGAGCAAGTTTTTTTTTCTGACTGACGACAATGCTATCGCCGGTACAATACGCAAAAAAAAAAAAAAGGACTTCATGGCCCTTCGCTCCACTTTGGCATCACGATAGCACCCAACCTTCGAGTCAGATGCCCTAATAAGCAAGGATGTCCTTTCGTCCGCCTTGGTCAAAAAGGAGATACCCCTCCCTCTCCCCAGCGTCGTTGAAATGATAATCATCCTCGATTATCCTTCAAGAACAAGAAGGACAATCATCCCTGTGTAGGGGTTACAATCACCCCTCCTACTTCTCCATGGCTGCTAACCCTAGACGAATGAATACCTCTACTACACCGTGGCTCCTCTCTAGTGGGAACGATGAAGCACTGATGGTATCCCGTTCGCAGATGCGTTCAAACGAAGGTCCACAGCCGCCGCCGCATCCCACTACCCTACCAGACAACTAAAAAAGCCGCCTCTATCGACTATTACTGTGCGATTCAGTCCCTCGCGATGACTGCTACACCCCCCCCCCTTCCCCCTCCCCACATGCTCCCCAACTAGACAGCGCACGAACTTGCACCTTCCTTCCATACTGCTTGCGTTCTCTGCATCGGTGAAGCCAAACTCACCGTAAACCGCAAAACACACCTTCCCGCGCAATTGCCAACCTCAGTTTCGACCGACGTTGCGTCCCTGCGAACTGCTTCACGGTACACTACTTACTCCCTCGACTGCTGTTTTGTTTCCCCATCCATCACACCGCCTTCCCGCATTACTAAACTCTCGTCTATTGTTACGTTTGCGCGGCTAAGTCCATTTGTCAGGCTCCTCCCGTCACTTGCCTCTTCGCCTCTCTCCCAATTACGACCCCTGACGATCCACATGTCACCCCACTTTTCCCCCTTCTTCTCTCACCTCGAGTCCTCCCCTACACCTTTCCCTGATTCCCCCACTTTCAGCGAGATTTCATTCCCCTCTTACCCTCTTCCTCCATCCGTCGCCTTAAACGACAATACCTCCCTCTTGGCATCTCGCTTTCTCTAGCCTCTCCCCACCCATCCACTCCTCGCACTCTCCCTTCCCGTCTTCTGCTTCCCTCGCTCCCCCTCTTTTCATCTCCAAACCCCCTCCGACCCTCTTCCCCATCCTTGGCCTCACACACATACCTCTCCTCTCAGATCTTCCGATCACTTCCTCTCTTCCTCCGCCTTGCCCACGTGTCCTTCCGCTCTGGAAACGTTCATACCCTGAGTGCCATTCCCTTAGCAACGACCATTTCCACCTCCCACCTGCCCTTCACCATGACCCTCGCACGCTGCCTTGTACTTCTACTCTGTGCATGGTCTTGTATGCCACCTCCACACTTCCCTCACCCCCCACGCAATCTTCCTCTCAACCCACGCTTTCCTCAACTTTTCCGCTCCTTTCCCCTTCCACCCCGTTGCTCTCCCGCCACATTATTCCCAATTCCGTCCCTCCAACCTGTACCCATCATGATTAGATAGATAGATAAACCMCCCCCCCCCCCACCCTATCTGCAACCTCATTCTCAGAAAAAATAGGAACAGGCGATGCGCAGCAGCTAACCTACCTTTCACCAGTTGATCCTTAGCTTCTCCTTCCCCACTTATTCCTCCCTTCGCACTTCCCGCCCTCCATTCATCCCTTGCTTCCTGCTCGTTTTCCTCCCCTCCCCCTCTCCTCCTCCCTCACATCATTGCACCGTACCCACTGCTCTCTCCAGAGCTCTGTACCTCCAGGTGACACAATTAACGCTCCGTTATTCGTCAGCAGAGGCAATGCGAGTTTGTGGGGCCGCAACGGTGTCTTCTCACCAGATCAACATAAGACGACAGACGATTTCGTCAGTGTTTTTCGTTTCTTTCTGACGCAATTACTAATTTGACGTCTTCGATCAGAAGTTATGGGACAAAGCCGTTGTTGATTGTACCTCCACCGCCTGCCACTAACTCGGCCCCCGAAAAACATCGCTAGCAATTACTCGACCTAAGATAGGTTCCATTATTGTCAAGCATCAAGCACATACCCAACAATTCTCAGTTAATTTGCAGGTCATCAACCCATCATCTCACATCTCATCTCCGTCCTTTGTGCACATTCCTCATATCCACACAGGCGGATGAAGCGCTGTACGCACTGCTGCCTGCAAGTCGATTAGGGCAAACATAGGTGAGGGAGGGGCATAAAAGTTGTAATACTTCGCTGCAACAGAATACTTGTTCTTAGCGGCTTGTTGGAAGCGCCGTGGAGAAATATATCCTCTGAGAGAGAGAAAAGTGAAGTGAAAAACCGTTCCCAAGCGGGAGACATCATCATGCTCATACTGTCACGATTAACAAACCAAGGCAAGCTTTTGGTTAGGAGCACTCAACTGGAAAGACGACAAGCATCACATAATATACCCTTCATTTCACATTTCCCACTTACTTCAGAGTGCGAGGGAGAAGATATTACACTCATGACGACAGCATTTCCTTGTCCAACTCAAGAATCAAATCCAGCAAGAAATCGTACACGGCAGATAATGCCGCTTGACAACCACATTAGCCGACAACGCAGGTTTCCAAATATAAAAAAAAAGAACGACAGAACAGACATTGGAGTCGATGAAAAGGCGAGTGAAGCGTCCCATTCAAAACTGCATCTCAATCCTTCCCCCCAAACCCCCTCTTGCTCAACCACACTGGAAAAAACTTTTTAACTTCGATGCATTCATAGATCGACCGATCTCTCTCTACCTCTCTCACTTGTAAAGACTGACTACGGCTCATTCCTCAAACCCTACAATCAATGATTTCCCTCTCTCCCTCTCCCTGCGACCGCTTTCTGAAAGCCTCGCCTCTGCTTTCATGAGACCTTCCTCAGCGTTTCCCCCTCCTCCCCTCTTTCCCTTTCGCACTCACGTCTCAACCATCCGTACGGCAGAGTCATTACACTTTTGATTTTTGATCGCAACGACGATACAAGATCGCAATAGGACTAACAGATGACCAGAGGAAGCGTATGTGCACGAATATAACCACCACGTGACCATCTACGTGGCAACGTTCGACGCCTTGTTCAGAATGACACCTTCATACTTGACCTGGAACCATTTCATGGCATCTTCCTTTGTCACCCTGTGCTGAATCCCAACTCTTGAGGTGCATCGTCTCCTCCTAGCCACACGATAGCCCGGTCTCTCGAGGACAACAAAGAAGTCCATACCGTAAATTCCAGTGGAGGGATCATACTTAATCCCCAAATCGATGTGCTCTTGGATTCCAAACCCGAAACATCCACTCTCGCTGAAGTTCTTGCGCAGCAACTCGTATTCCTTCACCTTCAGTCCGCTCTCAAGCAGCTGGAGTGCCTTCTCCCCTCTCACGGTCACATAGCAGGCGATCTTCTCATTCCTTCGAATACCGAAGGATCGCACAGTATACCTGGCCTTCGAGAACACGGGAGTCTGACCACTCAGTTGCTCCAGCACCTTGGACGCACGGGTGAGCCTATCGCCGCTCTCTCCGACGGATATGTTCAGAACCAGCTTCTGGACTTTGATCTCCCTCATCACGTTCAACTGCTTCTTCTCCGACGCCATGGCTGCAACACTTTCTTGCCGCCGAAGTGCTCAAGCCCGCCAAGCAAGTAAGACCGAAGATGACCACCACAAGAGGGACAACGACGACGACGACAACCCGCCCGTCTGTCGATCGGTCCACTCGCTCCCCCAACCAAAAGGACTAGAACATGGCAGACCGCAGCTTTTTGAGAAACTAGGGATTCACATCAGTCAGTGTCCACCCTACAAGCACTAACCCTTGCCCTGGACCGTACTTGGCAGACCTCGATGGGTACTGCCGGCCCCAGGGACGAAGCTCTTGTCGAGGCCCTCAGCAAGCCGGTGAGGTACGGACTTCACACTCGGGGCCCTTTCAGGGGGGGCTCGGCGAGGCCCAACAGATTCAGTCGTGCTGTATCTGCTGCGAATGAAGTCAGACCCAACCCGTCCGTCGGTTCTGACACCCGCAGCTTAACCTGGTCCACAGTAGGTTCAGCTACGCCGTACACTCGAACACCGTAGTACTCACGAGTAACCAACCACGCCGAACACAAAAGGCCCAGGGTTGTATCAAAGATTTCGAAGAGAAAACCCTCCATTCCATAAACGGAAAGGTGTTGGAATACCCCCAAAACTCGGGGTATTCCGTCAGATGCCCCTAAAACATAGGTGTATGCGAAATGACCCTAAATTCCGCATTTGCCCCTGTCCTGCCCATGGACAATTTTCTCATTCAGGCCTAGGTAGCCGTCGAGTTCAGGGCTTGCACATTTCTTTACCCACAAAAAAAATCAATAATGGGTCCGAAGGCCTGAAGTGGGGAGCATATGGCGGAATTGCGCAGGGGCCGGCAGGGGCATATACAAAAGATGCCCCGTCCAATCCGCGAGTGGGGTATTTGACAAAGTTTCACGACTTGGAGGAGGGCATTTCGCCATACCAATATGTTTCAGGGATATATAGTGAAATACCTCAACTTTCAGGGGCCCTGTGCACCTCATATGCCTGTGTGTGGTGTGTGAGAGTGTTGGCCATAGGCACTGCTTTTACTGGATGGGGGCGGGGAAACTGAATGTGAGGCGTCCCTACGGACAAATTGCTCGGTCTTTGCTAGGCCACCTCCCCCCACCTGACCACTGCCATGTGAGGCTATACTTGCAGCGGTCCCCTGTATGGGCTTAGGAGTAGTGTTAGGAAGGTAGTGAAAGGTGAAAAATACAAGAGACAAATACAACTTAGTTAAACCACCAACACCTTTCACAAGCAAACACAAAGTTCATTTAGTACCCTAATCCTTAGAGTCTAACGCCTCAGGGCGGGCTCAACAACCTTTTTCGAAGAGAATGTATAATTAAGAAAAGGGAAAAAACTGAAGAACTTGGAATCCGGCGGCGTTGGGAAAGGCCCTCACGGAGAAGGAATGTATTTGGCCACTACGTATGGAATGAGATTGCTATAGTTTCTGTTTATGTTCCTTTTCTTTGCATATCGTTCTGGTTCTACGCGAGGCATCCAACTCCCTCACTTGCCTCGTACTTACACTAGTACAGTAACGTCCTATATTATACCACAATCACAACATAAAGGATGTTGTTGTTTTTTTTCTTTGTTTGTCGTTCAGCGGACAGATACCCTCAATAACGACATAGTCGCATTTGCACCTCGTATAATGTATTTGATGGTTATCACGATATTAAGGATTATTTATTTATTTATTTATTTTGGATGCAATTACCCATGCTCGACAAAACTTAGTGCACAGTGAAATTCAGGTTCAAAAAAAAAAAAAATGGCGTTGAAGATGGTTAAAAAAAAAAAAAAAATTATCAAGGGACCTAACTCAGTTGGTTATGCATAAAACTGCGCATTGAGGAGCTTGTGGGATCAATCCCCATACTAGATTGCATCACATTTGATACCAAGCATATGAGATATTCAGCTTCACCCCCTTGGTCGGTATTAGTATGATTTTTTGCCAATATAAGATATGAGTGTGATTATGAGTGAATTGTGTGTGGTGTGTGGGGAAGTGTTGGCCTTAGACATTGCGGTTACTCGATACTAGCAAAATGCTCAATCTTTGTGTTAATTGGGCTCCCACCAACTGCCCCACCGTACTTTCTGACTACCATTGTTATGACATGAGGCAATATACAATCTTTCCTTGTGAGGTCTCATACATAGCCTTGGGAGCAGTGACAAGTAGGTATTGAAGGATAATTTTAAGAAAGTATAAGGCGATAATATATTGTAGCTCTTACTATTGACAAAAAAAAAGAAAACATGATTTTGCAACACCCAATTGTGGTCACCGTTGGACCACTAAGTCCTCACAAAGTCCAAGTATATCTGCCAATATTTTATTTTTTTAGGTCAGACCTAACTATAGTCGTGTGATAACACATATAGGACAAATGATAATATCAAACTGTATTGTTGGTTTTATTTTTCTCTTTATTTATTAAATATATACTTACGTAGGAGCTATTTGCAAAAATAGCTCTTCCTTTTCACTTCACGGGTCAACAAGGGAATAATTTTGCATTGCTCGATAAACAACAATAATGTAATGCAGTACTGTCGATAGTCATATTGCAATTAAAAAATAATATTTTTAATATTTTTTTCCCGTTTCTATTTTTTACGATAGTTTTTGAAAGTTTTAGAAATATGTAAACCATCTATTTGATTTCCTAGTTGTAGCATATACTGATGATTTAGAGTATTCACTTCATGTTTGAATCCCGCAAATAAATGTGTACCTATCACAAATTTTCCATATGCTTTGGAATGTTATGTTATGACAAAAATCATTTGTTATGTAAGTTATTATTCATGAACTTGAACAATTCGTCTTTCGACCTTCAACAAAGTCAAATTCAACACAAAACCTCTATGTCGAAAATTCAGTTGCGAGATGATTGTAAGGGCTTTTTATTTTCAAACAACGAAAACCAGCAACTTGCAAACCCTATGAAAAACTTTATCAAATCCAATGAATCCGTTTTTCTTTTAATTATTATATGTAAAACACGCTAGTGATTTTTTATTTTTTTTTATGCTAATGAATGAACAATCATATTTTTTCTAAAAAAATGCGATGTTGGTTATTCAAACTTGTGTTATTCTGGATAAGGACATCCGAGTTTAAAAAAAAACATTTCTATGCAAAATGCGTTTTTTTTTTTTTTATATACTCATGAATAGACAAATCATATTTTTTCTTAAAAAATGCGATGTTGGTTATTCAAACTTGTGTTATTCTAGCTAAGGGCGTCGGTTAAATTTGTGTAAGCACAGGTGAGTCTTAAACTATAAAGTATGAATTCATATCTTATATGAAACTCTCATAAAACGTGTAAGCAGTTAAAAATTTAGTGTGAGTGACTGAGCAACAAAGCAGTAAGGGTCACGTGGTAATTGAATCGAGCATGATTGTCGCGTTCACATGATATTGTATGTGATGATAGTGAATAAGGATACTACAATCTTGCAGAGGTGGATGAATATCATGACGGTAACGTTTCACTTTTAAACTTTGTGTCCTTTTTGTAGTGGTTATGATACTTTGCTCCTATTACCAATAATACTAGTTCAATTTTGTGCATGCGTAAATGAGTTTGAGGCCACAGAGTAGGGATTCATATTTATACATTTTAATAAGATTTAAACAAACAAGTTAAAAATTTTATTATTTTCGTAATTTGATAATTCGACTTATTTTTGGAAATCCATAATTAAATATTAATACATAAGAACCTGGGCTACCATAGTAGCCCAGGAAGACTTGCCCGACCGGGCAAAAAAAAAAAAAAAAAAAAAAAAAAAGGTGAAAAATTTCGATGTGACCTTGAGGCAAAAATTGTTCAATTTAGTTTTTAACATAACATAGTTTTTTATGGAGTTTTTTTTTTTTTTTTTGCTGGGACCTTCCTTGGTCCTTGCACGGGCTAGCCACTCGAGACCCAGGCGGCCCGACTGGTAGCCTAGATAAGAACTCAATTGAAATACCCATAATGAAAAAAAATGTTTGAAATATGTAAATTGATATAACTAAATTTTTTATTTTATTTTTTTCAAATTCGCTTTATAATAGGCAAATAAGGTGATGCATTTTAAAAATAACAATGTGTATTGAGTTTTCTTTCAAAAACAAATAATAAGTCTATACTAAAAAATTCTTAAAAAAATGAAGGTGAAATATACAAAATCATTCAACTTATGAAAAATCAACGTTGGTAATCGTTGAGTTGGAGGAAAGATACATCATTAACCAAATTCTTGAAATGATTGTGGATAAGATTTTAACAAAAAAATACCAAATATTTATGAATGGGCAAAAAAAAAAAAAAACCAATGATGATGAAATGAAAAAACTTTATTTTCTTAATTCATTATGAAGTGGATATATCATTCAACAAGTAAAAAGGCAAACAACCATCTTTGACACGTTCATAGATGTAAAAAAAAAAAAAAAAAATCATGTTATTGCAGTGCGTGTTATGATAATTAATTAGTTAACTTGACTAAAAACTCAATAAATATAAAAATACATAACTCAATTAAAAAATCAATAAATATAAAAACATATAAAAGTTTATATAAAAAACACCAGTATAGTAATATTAATTGATTGAAATATATATTCTTTGAATAACAAAAACATTAATTCATTCCAGTACAGTACAAATTAGTTGACAAAAATATATTTTTTAAAATAACAATATAACTACGTACAATTTTTTCATTTGAGTATGGAAATACAAAACTTGAATTCTTCATTAGGTTTGTACTATCTATATAATTAATATTTCTTAAATATTATAATTTTTCTTTTGTGATAATTTTCTATTTTGTTTTAATCGTGTATCTTACCAACACAAATTTGTCCTCCACCACAAATATTTTGAGGAACCTAATATACTTATTTGTTACCAATTATTAAAAAATCCTAACTTATTGTGCAAGCATATCCGAATATCATTGATCATAAAATAAATATGTTGATAGAAAAACAAATATTTATTGTTTTTAAATGAGTACCAATTATATTTAATTGAAATATGTTTATAAATGACATTGATTGATTGTATGAAAACAATTCAATATAATTGTTAAAAAAAAATGTTATTTTAAATAGCGAATAAAAAATATAGATTTAGTCAGGGTAGCTGATGTTCGGGATGGACCGAACATCCAAACCCAAACGCCT